CCATAAAAAAAACTTCAACAGCAAAATTCCAGAAACATTCTAGCAAACTCTAGCAGCAAAATTCCAGCATACTCCAACTCTAGAAATTATCATTTATTAGTCTTCTATCAATTGATAGATCGAATTAAGATTTACCAAAGATTGATATTTGTAGATAAACAAGAAAGAGGATACATGAGCTTTTTCAATTGCAATATATATTATACTATTAAAACTCACAGATTGTTACCTTCTATGCCATCTTCATTCTCTTCATCATTGAGAAATTCACAAATCTCCTCCAAAGTTCTAGGATCAATTGCTATTTCATACAAGTGAGCAAATAGAAGTTATATAAATGTAACTTTTATATAAGTAAAAATTATTAAATAAGATATATATCTATTGAAATTGATTTTTGTAGCCGACTTTTAGTACATAACAAAACCTCCATAGTGGTTTAGTGAAGTTTGCAACGAGTAGGATCCAACAATCGACCACCGGTGCTAACAGCCTATTCAAATGCAACAGATATAACAGGGACAACAAGCATATCCCTTGCAATATCTTGCAAAATAAGATACTTAGCCCCATTCATCTTCCACCACAACAAGATGTCGAACTTGAAATTCCAAGGTAAGACTTCATCACTCAAATAATTGTCCAATTCATTTTGAGTAGGTGTTCCTCTCGAATTTTTCCTTTGTTGTACAAACAGCTGAAATTCAAGATCCACAAAAGAAGAACCACCAAGTGATTGAGAACTCGAACCACCAGAAGAAACCCCGACATTCTTATTCAATTTAGACTGATATTCTATGATTAAATCACTCAAGACAGCCCGGATCTTGACCACATCCAAATAGACTGACCCCTTTCAAAATTTCGAGCATAATATTCCACAATATGAAGCTTATATCTCGGATCCAACACAACAACCACAACTAGTTATTCATGAATATCATCCCAGTATTTCTTTAACTTATCCCACATCAATCCAGCCATCTTAGAAATCATAGTGTTGCAACCCTCCCTCTAGGATCGTCGGGGTCGCGTTCGCTTTTTGGAGTCGCCATCGATCTTACTTGGAGTGGATCGAACACTCTTTGATTGGCTCTAACCTTAGATTCAGAACCAAGGTTGGTCTGCGGTTAGGAGATATGTGTTCGGGAGTACGATTCCGTGTGGGGAAGTTAAGCAACACCCCCCACAACACCCTAAATCGGTACTACTTAAGGTGATAAGTTTTTATATGAGTTGGGTGTATTTTAGTAATTATGGCTATAGACTAAATGATTTGCGAACCTGAATGCTAGAAAATATGGTTGTGTATGTGTTCTGGAATTTTTTGTGTTTGGTGGATTTGGTCTATGGTTTTGGATCTAGTTCCATATATGCTAGAAGTTGCTAAAAACAGGTTTTTCTATGGTTGAAATTTAATTAACATGCTGTAAATTGGTAGTTTTGGCGATTGTAAATCACTGCCTCTTCCGTGATTTTGCTAGACTAGGGACTATAAATCACTGCCTCTATCCGTGATTTTGCTAGACTAGTGATTATAAATCTTGTGATTTCGCTAGATTATGGGCTACGCTGTTGGTTTTTGAAATCTAAAAATTATTGTGTTTATGGTGTTTGTGGACGGTACCTTAACTACTACAAACCGCTACCACTGCTTGAGATTTTAATTAGACTATGGTTGATATCTAGTTTTACTTTAATTTGTATGTGTACATATGTTGCTACGAATGAGGGAAATCCAAATATGACAAAAAAAAGTTTAAAACAAAACATCCAACTCCACTCCTAGTTAAGTTAATCAGCATAATAGTGATAGCATAGACAAAGCTAGTCATACGAGAAGGAAAAAAAACTTTAATGATAGGGCTTAATGAAATTGATATGAGCAGATCTGGATAAATAGAGTGCTTGAATGTAAAAAGTTTGTAAAGTAAAACACTTGAATGTAAATAGGTAAGTAGATAGACGATTATGACACTATGGTGATCGATTATAAACTTGATGAAATAAAATAAGATAGATCTTCACTGAGTGTAAGCACCAACTTGGTTGAAGCCTCTGGCCTAAGAATGCCCTTTTTGTGCTTCTATCTTCGAACCTCTTGACTGAACTTTGTGTAAAAGAAGGGGTGAAAAGGAAACCAGATGCCCTTCTTTCTCTCAAGATGTAATTTTTGTTTTTATGGTATCCCCCCCCCCCCAAACTAAGAGCCCAAAGGGCTCTTTAATAGCAAAGGAAAGCGCAACGTGTCTCTTGGTGGTTGGTCGATTTTGGGGCTAATTGTGAGACCTCCACCACACTTGGTCGGTTCTTACTTGTCAAGGACAGTTATGGATACAGTTATCCAGTGCCATTGGGCCGAGTTGGACCTGCAGTTATGGGATTGAATTTCGTCTGTCTTGAACCTTGAGCCGAGCTGGGCTTTGGACTTGAGCTTAATCAAATCTGGGCTTGAACTGATTGAATTTCTCTTCTGTTGCAGATCCATGGCTTATCAAAGAGTTGTCTCCAAATCAAGTGTTAATTTTAAGTACATGTAAATCAACTATGTATTAGAATATTTTCTTCCGTTATGACATGTAAATTTTTCTTGTAATGTTTAATATAAACACTTAATGATAAAGACTGGCACTCTTAATTCAATTAAGCCATTTTCATCCAATCCAATCTTGCCAATTCTCTCCAAGCATCCTTTTTTAAATTACTTGTAGAGTAATGTTACAATGAGTTTGTTTTCTTCAGTAGAGCAATTACCCGGACAAAATGTGGTGTCTACACATAGCAATATCATCAACAAGCCACTCACAAAGTTTTAGCTTAAAATCACATATCTTTGAAAAGAACAGATTGGCAGTGGGATACTTGGTACCAAAGAACAAATCAGATATCTCACTGAATATTTGCAACTTATCACAAACAATCGATGCAAATGCCCAATGATCATTTGTAGGAAAAACAAGTATAGTGAGGGTTATTATGTTTCAGCCTAATAAACACATTTTCATACGGTATTGCAGCAGCAAGCATATCATATGTTGAATTCCAGCGAGTTGGACAATCCAAAATCAACTTTTTATCACAAGAAAATTATAACTGATTTGCTACTCCCTCAAATCACTCCAACCTCCTAGGAGTAGCAATCCAATAAGCTACACTTTCACGGATTGTTTCAATGCCATCTCGAAACACATCCAACCCATCTTTAACTATCAAGTTTAGAATATGTGCAGAACGTCTCATATGTAGTAAAGCGCCCCATTTAAGCAAACAAGACATCACCCATTTATTCTTAACCTTGTCAATAATAGAATCATTGGTGCTACAGTTATCCAAAGTTATAGTTGATACCTTAGAAGTTAGAATCAACATTCCAGTCCATCATATTGTCAAACAAAGCAGTAGCCATCCTATTACTTGTATGCGGGGTTGGAACATAAGCAAACCTTTAAAAAAGACAACATTGAAAAATGGTTAGTGACTCATTCTCACAAAATAAACAAGATATAATTCAAATTATGTATTACATATCATACCTAAGTAAGCGACTTCGTGGAATCCAAGAATTGTCCACGCAATGAGTTGTAACAGTCATGTAACCCTTTTCTGGTTGATTGTTGTCCCCATATCAGTTGTAATGGCAACCCTCCCTTTGTTACCACAAACCAATTTCATGATCCTATTCTTCTCATTCTCATATATCTTAAAAATGTCGCTTTTAAGGGTATTTCTTGTAGAACACTAAACAAGGACTGGAGGCCAAACAAGAACCTCCTATAATATAAATGATCCACCATAGACAGAGAATACTCATGCATAAGAACGGCCACAACAATATCTTGCCTCGAAACAGCTGCGTTAAACTGAGTAGCAACCATTTCCCTCTTTTCCTTGGTGACAAAGTTAGCACCAAATATCTTTTGCTTCCCATCCTGAATCTTCTTTTGCATACAAGTCTTCAAATGATTTCTCAATTGTGAAGTACCATTATTAGATTCACTAGTAAGCAACTTCTTGCAATGGCTACATTTAGCCTTGATGAGTCCTCCCTTTTTATCTTTATAAAGTGCTTCCACACGTTACTCTTGAAGTATCCCAAATCAAGAACCTCTTCGTCATAACCAGCAAGTGTGGTTTATGGATTTTGTGCTTCTGGATAAGATACAACAGCCTCTTGGTTTTGTAGTTGTGGATTAGCAACAGCATCAGCCCCTTGAGCCATTTTTCGCCTGCAAGTGAGCACACAAGTGTAAATATTAAACATAGCAGTAGTGGATTAGCAACAACAGCACCATCGGATTTACAACAGAAGCAATATGCAACTAACCCAGTTTAACTAATTAAACAGCAGCAACATGCAACTAACCCATATCAACAGCAACAGTATGCAACTAACCCAATATTAAACCCAACCTCTTGAGCGCTTCTTCCCATATTAGACAAAGATGGTATGCAGATGCAAAAACCATTTGCAATAAAATCATTTTTAAGAGAAAATTACCTCATCAAGAATCACAAAAGTATTCGACACTGATTGATGTCGAGAGGAACTGTTGCACTATGCAACACTGCTCCACCATACACTGCTCTCGGCATTTTTAAGAAATCAAAATTAAACTTGAACTGGCCACTACAATTTTGTTTTCAGGATTTCAACAGAGGGTCATGGCCTTGTCAATGAACCCAGAAATTAAATTCAAGAAATCGAAATTGACTATTACGGAGGTAGCAGGAAGAGGAAGAAATTAAGAATCTAACCTCTGTAAGTGGTCGATTGCCGGTAGTTGCCAAAGTGCCGAGATAGAAGAGCTTCTTGTGAAGAACTCATTAAACGAAGGAGAAAGAGTCGAGGGACGCAGAGGATTTGACTACATTGAATGGTTTGCTTGGGTGATTGGATCTGAGAAGAAAGAAGACGAGGAGTCGAGTCTTGACTCTCGAGAGGACTGAGATTGGATGGGAAAATGGAAATTCAGAACCGCTGATTCGGGCTCAATTACATATATTTTAGTCCTCGTTTCTTGATTGTTTGACTTAGTTATCATAATCCCTCGGCCTATTTTATGCTAGGTTGTGTTTATTTTGTCACATTCAAGTTCCTAGTACATGTGGGAAGGTCCGGGACAAGTTTCGGGTCATTCGGAGGTCAAAACGAGCCAAAAAGTGGAGGCTGAGCACTTTTCAGAACTGGAGGCAAATGTCACGCCCTGAGACAGTGAAATCACCCCCGGGGAGTGAAATGCATGACTTGACGGTGTGGACTCATTTATCATGGTCCTAAGACCGTGATAATCACCCTCAAACCGTGAAGTGGTCAATTTCCTGAGCAGTTTGTCGTCTCACTGGAGTCCAACCAGTTCACGATAGCTAAGACCGTGAACTCAAGCCCCAGACCGTGAAGTAGCCCAAAATGCTGCGTTTTTTGTCAAAGATAAAGGTCAAGCCTTCGAGTTCACGTCTGTGAACAATAATCGTGATGTCGGCACTTTCGGGCTGTATAAAAGATAGCAGCGGGGAGAGAGAAAGGAGAGCTGATTTTTGGAGATGAATTAGTTTCTTTCTCTAGGGTTTTGACCCAAAATACCAAAGGGGAGTTCTAGAGAGAGAGATTGAGTTCTTGAGTGATCTTGGAGCTTAATTGAAGGCATTGATTAAGCTTGGAAGCAAGCAATCAAGCCTAGAAGAAGAAGATCATGTGCCTTATTTGTAATCTCTCTCTTCTCTCTCTAAAAATTCACCATATTCTCTTGGGTTTAAGATCCCTAGGTCTAGATTTTATTTCATTGTTGATGTATGTGACAATTCCATATTTGATTGATGATTTTACTTAATTGATGGATGTTTTATGAATTGTATGAGTTTGGCTTCCATTCTCATGTATGAGCTTTTGACCTAGGAGGGAGAAAATCTCCTTGGAGCCCATTATTGGCATCTTTGGATCACTCCTCATCCTATATTGTACGGGTAATCCCCAAGGGAGTCGATTCCATCAATCTCCTACGATATAGGGTTTCCCTAGGTTGAATAAAGCATACCCATTCATCGATTTGCCATCCCGGATCATTCGCAAGGGAGTCCATCTCCTGATGGTAGAGTATTTTAGTAAATTGAGATAGGAGGAAACTCAACAACGATCCAAAGGACGTAGCTAGGGGGATTGAAACCCAAGAGAGCTTCCAATCTTGTAAATAGCTAGGTTAGTGGTTAGCTAGGTTAGTTAGTTTAATTTTTCTAATAACCATCCTAGGTTGGCTAGATAACGAACCCTAAACCTGAAGTAGGGTAAGCCTAGATCCTCGTGGTACGATAAATTATTATTGCTTGCTTGCACTATGCTACACCCGGTCGAAGGTTATGCTTGGCCGTCGATCGGAATGTTGTAGTTGGAAGGAGTCAACCTCTGCTGCGCTGCACGCGAACTTGGTAAAAGTTGATGAGTGATGAGAGATTGAGAGAGGGATGTGAGTTAGGGTCTCGCAGAGACGAGGGGTAAGGGAACATGGTTCGGGGACGAGGGTTAAGAACTTAGGGATTATTTATATTCCGGGTGGGTTTGGGTCAGATATCACAATATCCACCCCGACCCAAGCCTGATCATTTACATTTTGGGTTTTACCCGAGCCCGACCCACGCCTAGTCAAAGCAGGTTTTGCCAGCGTTGCTGGCTCGGGTTCAAGTGGATACCCGATCCATCGGTTTTCCTTGCCAACCCTAGTGTCTTTGTAGTAGTTGCATATGTTTCTTTTCTTACAGAGACGCTTAGGATGGCTAACTTCTTCACAATAGTGACACTTCAGCTCACACGAAGGGATGCATCTCTGAAACTGGGGACAGTTAACAGCGTAAGCAGAATTTGAGGTGGGAGGACCATTACTGGTGGAGGCCTGAACGACGACAAACACGGTGGACCCGCTTGCTCCTTAGCGGACATCCAACTTCTCCTAAGTACGCAGTCGCTTTTCTTCACGGATCAGCTGGCCCAAGATCCCGTCCATGGAGAGCCCATCTTGATTGACCAAGCGAGAACGATGAGCTTTGAACTCAGGACTCAATTGCATGAGAAATTGAAGGATGCGAGTTTGCTTCAGTTCTTCGTTCACTTCAGCGGAGACAACTGCAGGACGGAGGGCGGCGATGAGAAGGTTGCTGCTCCGTCCAGAGGAGCTGGGCCTCGTTGTAGTACGCGGCAACATCCCGGTTTCCCTTCTACAGACTGCTCAAATCACACTGGATATCGAACTGGCAAGCTGAATTGAATTGGGTATATGTGCCAGCAAGATGACACCACATCTCATTGGCTGTAGACAATAGACGAAGACCAAGAACAATCCCCAAATCAACATAATTTAAGGATACATGATTTTACCCTTGCATTGTTCTGGTTCCAGCTAGTAACCTCCTGTTCGGTAGCAGGAGGCGAGGTCGATTTTGAAAAAGTTACGTCGAGCACAAAGAGAAACCCTTTTCCTTCAACGAACGTGCGCAATCAAAATTCACAGAGCGCGTAGTTCTTCGCATTGAGCCGAACAGTGATGCTCTCCGATTCCATCGACAAAAGCTTTAATACCATGTTAAGAAAGTGTACCTAAATCAACGAGAACAAAGCAAGAGCGTTAACACAAGACACAGATTTACATGGTTTCCCCAGAGATTGGGACTAGTGGATTCGGATGGATTTGTGGATTAAACACTCAATATGCTCATCCTTATACACAGTTATCTTCAATCCTTGTTTATTTGTGCTTCTTAAATGAATTAAAACAGTATCAATAAGACTAATCACTGAAGCACCGAAGAAGGAAGAAGAACAAAAACAAAACGAAAAAAACAAGTGCAACAGTAAAAATACGAAAAACTCGTATCCTATATATCTGGATCACTTTATAGTATATTTTTGTTGTGACTTGAATCAGACTATCAGCCGCTACGACAGGAAGTCAGGGGGAGTCACGGGGGTCTCTCAGTAAGGCAGCGGATGGTTCGATGATATATCTGGTTCTATATATGAATGATATGCTCATAGCTGCGAGGTCGAAGTCTGATATCTAGAAGTTAAAGGGGCTTCTCAGTGCTAAGTTTGAGATGAAGGATTTGGGAGCTGCTCATAAGATTTTGGGTATGGAGATTTACAGGGATAGAGAGAAGCAGAAGCTTTTCTTGTCACAGAAGAGCTACATCCAAAAGATATTGTCCAGGTTTGGCATGTCTTCAGCAAATCCCTTGAATAATCCTAGTGCTTCTAATGTACATCTATCCTTAGTTTATGTACCGCGGTCAGAGGTTGATATGGAGTACATATTGAGAGTCCCATATGCTAGTGCAATTGGTAGTTTGATGTACGCTACGGTATGCACTAGACCTGATCTTGCACATGTTTTTAGTCTTGTCAGTAAGTTTATGATACAACCTAGGAAGGAGCACTGACAGGATGTGAAGAGGATCTTCAGGTACCTTAAGGGTACATTTGATGTGTAGATTAGCTTTGGTAGTGATACGGAGTGCTTAGTGGCTGGTTATTCAGATTCTGACTATGCTAGAGATATTGACACGAGAAGATCGATGACTGGTTATGTATTCACTCTTGGGGGTTCTTTGGTGAGCTGGAAGGCAACTCTGCAGTCAACAGTGACATTGTTTACTACTGAAGTAGAGTAAATGGAATTGACAGAAGTTGCTAAGGAGGGGATATGGTTGAAGGGGCTGGTTAGTGATCTGGGTCTATATCATGATCAAGCTGTGGTGTATTGCGGCAGCTTGAGTGCAATATGCTTGGCCAAGGATCAACTCCACCATGAGAGGACTAAGCACATCGACGTGAGGTATCATTTTTTGAGGACAGAGAAGAGAATTAATTTGAAAAAAGTTAGCACCACAGATAATCATGCAGACTTGTTCATGAAGCCAGTTCCACATGGCAAGTTCCAACACTGCTTGGACTTGATGAATGTTTTGAGTGGGTGAATCCGCCCTGAGGGGCATTGATGGCCAGAGGGAGAGAAGGATCAGAGTACATTAGAGATTTTAGAGGAAGAGGATTCAAGTCAAGGTGGAGATTTGTTGTTGTGACTTGAATCGGACTATCAGTCGCTACAACTGGAAGTTACGGGGGTCTCACTGTTATTTGGGTTTGGGTTATGGCCCTGATTGTTACCGCTTCTCCTTTACCATATTGGATTATGGTGACACATAGGAGAAGTAGTATAAATACTTCTCATAAAGATAATGAACTTACTCTCTTCTGCCCGTGGACTAGCTAACACACATTGTGTTAGTGAACCACGTACATCATGTGTCGTGTGCTTTCTAATTTTTTTTTTCTTGCTTTGTTGAATCCTCCAATTCCCGATTTCCCAGAAAACAGTCGTGAGATATATAGTACAGTATATAAATCTGCACATATATTTACATGGTGGAGCTAGCTAACAAGGTTTATATACTTATATTATATATTAGTCATGGTATTGACAATTATAACGTGGGCGATGATTATATCCATATCCATAATTATTGCTAGATTCGAAACCGGCCCGTTGGCCGGATACATTTCCTTGATGGTATAAACAACAATGGTAATTATATAAAGTAAGCTATTTTTTTTTCTTGGTACCATGCAATGATGCAAAGGAGCCAAATTCTATTAATTAATATATTTAAACCTAAAGCCATTTTATTATTGCCTGAGAGTAATGCTAATTTGCAATACTGTCACCTAAGCTATTCTTAGGTTTAATTTTGATTACAGTAGAGTACAGGTTTATTTGATGGAAGAATGTGAACAAACATGGTATTACAATATTGATGAATATTCTATCTCATGAGAAGAATGCAATTGATCTCATTTGTCCAACTGTGCCATCTCACAAGCCATTCAAATTTTTGCTCATTGACATTAAAACATATCTAGAATGGCAATTGATCGGGTTGAGTAGATAATATACATTCCATTATTTTACCTAAAATAGTTCGGGTTTTATTCATATGTAGAATATCAAATTATATCCTACGCGATCGAGTTTCAGCCTTTCAGGTATCCATAGTTATTCATGTATAGAAATCTATCTTTATAACTTCAAGCATGTTAACAATTACATGTATACTCACATTACACAAGTCAAAAAGTACAACAATATATTATTAGTACGAAGAAAATTAGTTAAACACTGTGCCCCCATCCCCCTTTCACAAGCTATTTAATTCTTTCTCATTGACAAAACACGCAGAGAAATGAACAACGGATCGGGTTGGGATAGATAGTGCTTATCCATAATCCTACTCAAAATAGTGCGGGTTTTACCCATATTCATACTTACAAGAATCGGGGTAGAATATCAAAATCACACTCATGCACAATGGAATTTCGGGTATCCATTGTTATCCATGTGTAATAGTTTATCCTTATAACTTTAAATAATAAATTAAGAAATTCATGTATAGTGACATATATAAGTGAAAATGTATAAAGATAAATTACTAGAACGAAAAAAATTAGTTGAAAACCACACAATTTATAATAATATTATATATGTACAATAAATATCATATATATTGAGAAAATAATGATCCTTTTTCAAATAAATACACATGCATGGGTATAATCGGGCGTATTAAGGTTGGATATTGAGAAAACCATAGCCATCCATTACCAGTAATGTTCGGTTTCGGGTTTAACCATGCCTATAAAAACCTTCATATTCAAATTACTAAAGCAAAGAAAATTCGTTTTAAACTACACATTTCATAATATTATTATATATGTATAATAAATATCAAATATATTGAGAAAATAATGATTCTTTTTTAACCAAATAAATATGCATAGGTATAATCGGGCGGATTAAGGTTCGATATTGAGAAAATCATGGTCATCCATTACCAATAATATTCGGTTTTGGGTTTAACCATGCCTATTAAAAATTCTTCATATTCAAATTTTATCATATCCAATTTTATCGGATTTAGACGTGTATCCACGCATATGGTTATTTTTTTCATCCCTAAACATACCTTTATCAATGTCTATATAAAGTTTATTGCAAACAATTATTTGTTTGCTCCATAATTAGCAAAAAATCATGAAATTAAAGAAGTAGGAATGAAAGAAAAACAAAATAACCACAACATTAAACAAAAATGAAAGGAACGACAATGAGATTCTTAATTTGAACTTAAAAAGTTCAGCCGACACAATCAGAATGATTTTTGTTACTTTCCCGGTTGTTCTTCTATCTTCCATTCTTTATTTACGTCTATGCCTTCTTTGTCTACCCTAATTAGTTTATTATATTTATGTCTTCTCATTTACAATTATATATGGTTATTTAAATAATAATTCAACAATTGGTTTATAACGAGTAACAATTGAACCATAAATTACTCACTTTTTAGTTCATCTTTCAGTCCAATTTGAAAAACAAACTTTTTTTACTTAATAGTACATGTTTTAAGCTAAGTTTTACTTTTTATTCTCTTCAAACACAAGAACGCAAGTTGACCAATCCGCTACGAAGTGCGGTCCTACCCTAGTACAAATTATATAATCACACTTTATTTAACTACTTTCCATACCATTATTGCAAAAAAATTCTTAGACTTCCTTTCATTTAAGTTTTCCTCTTGTCGCAGTAAAATTTGATAATAATAATTATTAAAGATTTGAATTTGTATTCTCTCTTTTTAGTGATAATCCCAAATTTTTTCTCAAAGTTCATTCTTTTAATGTTCAAGTGAATAATATAATTAAAAGATACCAATTTTATAAAATAATATATTTTCTTATTTGCGACCATAAAATAATATGAAATATTCAATTATTTGAAAATTGAAATTTTGAGATACACAATAGAGTTTTCCAACAATTACACCGAGTGATCTATGAAGTTCCTTATTGAAATGAAAACGAAGATTAAAGCAAAGGAATCTGAATTCTAAGAATACTAATTTAATTACACTTCATTTTATTTCACTATGCTTTGTCAAATATTAGAGCAATTTTCTTTTGACTTCTTTACCATTGGCCTGCCATCAACATGTTATTCTCTCAACCATTAACAATATAAACTATTTTCATCACCTACCTGTACTATCTTCACTGTTAATTGTCTCTTCCTTCTTCTCAACAACGTCGTTATCCGTATAAGTGACTCCACTGTCTCATTTCATTGGTAGCAAATTTGAAGGTAAAATTTCTACAAACATAAAACATCATTATCACGCAAAATATCTTTAGAGAAGAACAATTTATTAAGGGCAATTTATCATGACTAAAACATGGATTTTGCATCTCATAGATGTTGTTCCATCGTTCGAAACTTACTACACTTAGAAGCCTTCAATTCAAGGAATTAAATGTTGTAAACACATTCATAATTAAGAAAGGAATTATGATGTCGGGCATATTCACAGTGATTTCGGATAGAATGGAAACTTTGACCTAACCTATTTTACATAATCTATTTTATCTGTTTAAAGTGGGTAATACCCACTCCGTGAGCCGGACAAGACGAACATGAGTACTCTCTTGATCATGACTCATCATGACATCCTCATTTTCGGTCTGGTTTTTTTCTAAATAATATATAATTTTACTTATGTTACATTTAATTGTTGTTGCCTCATATGTTGCAACAATAAAGTTGTAAAAAGTGAGAATCTCATTTACTTGAATAATGTAACTACATTAATCAATATTCCTAATATTTTCAATTTAAAGTATATGTCTACATGGACCGATCTATCCCAATCATTGTTTTAACAAAAAATTATCTGACCGAACTTATACCAACGGACGGATATGAATATCGAGATACTCGTCCCGGCTTTCAATTGCCATTTCTGATGCCGTAGAATTATGCAATGAGAA